TTCAAACCCACCAGCCACTCCTCTGAAGGAAGGTTGGGCAATCTACTTCCGTAGTGATACTGCCTCGGAAACCCAAGGAGGGGTCGCTATGAGTCTGGTCCGACTTGACAGCATATAACAACAACAACAACAACAACAAAATCTTTCATAAGACAATGCTACAAAGAAGGTAGTTCAAAGAAAACAAATTTATTTCCTCACAGTTCTAGAGGCTAGACATTCAAATAGGGTCTTGGTTGTGTCTTTTCCTTCTGTGGGCCTCTCTCCTAGTTTTTAGTGGCTGTTGGCAATCCTTGACATTCCTCCGCTGCTTATAGATGCATGTACCTTCATAGTTACATGGTGTCTGCTTTCCCCCTAGTGTCTGTGTCTCTTAAGATACTACTCAGAAAGGATTAGGATTAGGACAACCCTACTCCATTAATTTAACTGATAACATCTGCAAAGAAAAACTCTATTTTCCCAAACAAGGTCTTATTTACCAATGCAGGGATTAGGACCTCATCATATTTTGGGAGCTCTGGTAGCATAGTGGCTAAGGCACTTGACTGCTAACCAGAAGACTGGCGGTTCAAACCCACCAGCCACTCCTCGGAAGGAAGGTTGGGCAATCCTACTTCCGTAGTGATACTGCCTCGGAAACCCAAGGAGGGGTCGCTATGAGTCAGGGCTGACTCGACGGCACATAACAACAACAACATATTTTGGGAGCTCTGGTAGCATAGTGGCTAAGGCACTTGACTGCTAACCAGAAGACTGGCGGTTCAAACCCACCAGCCACTCCTCGGAAGGAAGGTTGGGCAATCCTACTTCCGTAGTGATACTGCCTCGGAAACCCAAGGAGGGGTCGCTATGAGTCGGGTCCGACTCGACGGCACATAACAACAACAACAACAACATATTTTGGGAGACACATTTCAGTCTGGAACATCCCCGTTTTCCAGATGAAAAACCAGTGGCATGCTGGGGCGAGCCCTTAACAGTTTGTTGCATTTTTAGGATTTTTGTTAGCCAGTTGATATCATGTTGTTAGCCTGAAATCAGCCATGGTAATTGGCAAATGCAGCAAATTAGGGCCATTATCTCCAGAGAGCTAGTTTAAACATTCACCAGCACATCATTGAAATAAGTTCAAAGAGATACTTGCCAAGGTAACACAGATGGTAGCAATTGGCAGGACTCACATTGTGTCATTGCTTCAAAGCCCACAGTCTTAACCTCTATGACCTCACTTGGAACCCTTTTATATTGGGGATTAAATAGCTCAACATTCTTCAGTCTGATAAGGACTATCTTTGGGTGAATAGCCCAGCTAATATCTACTCCATGACTCCATCCATCAGGAGAAATAGAGTCCAACAAACTCAAGGACAATGATTCTGCTTTTCATAAATTATTAACTTATTTTCAATTTTTTAAATTAGTAAATTATGTCATGGCAAAATTTGAATCAAAGGTAAGTTTTGACCTGCTGAAAGTTATCCTAAACCATCATTCTTAGCCATACCGTCACCCTTCTAAAGCTCAACACAGGGTCCTCTCATCCCCAATTAGTTGCTCTAAGATTTGGTGATAGGAAGGAAGAAACAAAAGGCAAAAGGAGGAGGAGAACAGAAGGTGACAGGGAAATCTAAGAGGAGATATTTGGAACCCTTTGTGCCAGCTCAGAACTAGAGAAGGAAATTAAAGTTATCAATAGGAGATTTCTAAACATCACTCCCCTTCTTCCTCCTGAATGCTAGGTTCTGAGGAGACACAAATTCAGGTCTTTTTAAACTTCATTTCTTTCTACTAGTCTTTTTCATCAGATGTCAAATGATGACTTAAATGATTTGGCACAGGATTTAAAGGACTTGTACCATACCCCATCTTTTCTGAACTTCCATCCCCTGGGTGAGGATATTGACATCATTTTTAACTTGAAAAGCACCTTCACAGAACCTATTCTATGGAGGAAGGACCAACATCATTATCATATGGAGCAGCTGACTCTGAGTGATCTGCTGGAGCCTCTTCAGAGCCCCTGTCTTATCCAAGGGGAATCAGGCAAAGGGAAATCTGCTCTGCTCCAGTGAATCGCCATGCACTGGGCCTCTGGAAAGTGCTGGACTTTGGCTGAGTTCAAATTTGTCTTCTTCCTCTGACTGAACAGGGCCCAGGGTGGAATCTTCGAAATCCTGTGTGATCAACTGCTGGATATACCAGACAAAATCCAGAAGCAGACTTTCATGGCCACACTGCTGAAGCTATGGCAGAAAGTTCTTTTCCTCCTTGATGGCTACAAAGAATTCAAATCCCAGAACTGCCCATAAATTGAAGCCCTGATTAAGGAAAACCACCATTTCAAGAATATGGTCCAATGATAGATAGATAGACCAATGGAACAGACTTGAAACTCCAGTTATAGACCCATTCATCTATGGACAACTGATCTTTGACAAAGGTCCAAAACCCATTAAATGGGGAAGAGACGGCCTGTTTAACAGATGGTGCTGGCAAAACTGGATCTCCACCTGTAGAAAAATGAAACAAGACCCACACCTCATCCCATACACAAAAACAAACTCAAGCTGGATCAAAGACTTAAATGTAAAACCCAAAAGTATAAAATTCATCAAAGATAAAATAGGGGCAAATCTGGGAGCCCTAATTTATGGCATAAATAGACTATAAATCATAACTCAGAATGTGCAGGAGATAGAAGAGAAGCTAGATGACTGGGACCTTTTAAAAATTAAATTCGTATGAGCATCAAAAGACTTCGTCAAAAGGGTAAAAATAGAACCTATAGATCGAGAGAAAATATTTGCCTATGACATATCTGATAAAGGACTTATCTCCAAAATCTATAGAAAACTTCACCTGCTCAACACCAAAAAGACAAGTAACCCAATTCACAAATGGGCAAAAGATGAACAGACACTTCACCAAAGAAGATATACAGGCAGCCAACAAACACATGAGAAATTGCTCGTGATCATTAATCATTGTTGTTGTTATGTGCCATCGAGTCAGACCCGACTCATAGCGACCCTTCCTTGGGTTGCCAAGGCAGTATCACTATGGAAGTAGATTGCCAAACCTTCCTTCTGAGCATTAATCATTAGAGAGACGCAAATCAAAAGAACAATGAGATATCATCTCACTCCAGCAATAATAGCAAGTTCAACAGGTCAGAATAACAAATGCTTGCAAGGTTGCAGAGAGATTGGAACTCTTGTGCACTGCTGGTGGGATTGTAAAATGGTACAACCATTGTGGCAAATGGTATGGCGTTTCCTTAAAAATCTGAAAATAGAAGTACCATTTGACCCAGCATTTCCATTACTAGGAATATGTCCTAAAGAGGTGAGAGATAGCACATGGACAGACATACGTACAACTATGTTCATCGCAGCACAGTTCACTATAGCAAAGAGATGGAAACAACCTAAATGCCCATCAACGGATGAATGGATAACCAAATTATGGTACATACACAAAATGCCCATCAACGGATGAATGGATAACCAAATTATGGTACATACACACAATGGAATACTATACTACCTTAATGAACAAGGGGAGCTCTGGTAGCATAGTGGCTAAGACACTTGCCTGCTAACCAGACGGCTGGCGGTTCAAACCCACCAGCCACTCCTCGAAAGGAAGGTTGGGCAATCCTACTTCTGTAGTGATACTGCCTTGGAAACCCAAGGAGGGTTCGCTATGAGTCGGGTTTGACTCGATGGCACATAACAACAACAACAATAACAACATTAATGAACAACGAGAGATACACAAATCATCTCACAGTGTGGATGAACCTGGAAGACATTTTGCTCAGTAAAATAAGTCAATCACAGAAAGACAAGTACTGTACAAGTACTGAGTCCATTACTGTAAAAAGACAAGTGTTTGCTTGGAAAAGGGAAGTCACTTAGTAGGTTAGTGGGGTGGGGAGGGTAGAGGAGGGATTAATTTCAGGCTAGTTGGGACCTACATGCTGACATGGGTAGGAGGAGGGATATACAGGAAGGATCTATGACCACCATAATAACATTAGGAAATGGGAGGACACCAAATTGTGCACATAAGAGATAGATGACAGATGCTAATACCAACCAATGTGTCCACAATACTGCATTGCCATTAACACCAAACACAAGACTACAGATAAACACATAAACACCTGAGAGGATCAGATAGGAGTCAGTGAACAGAAGTATACTCTAGAACAAGGAGAGAGTCAGTTGAGGCTAATCTTGCACAGACACCAGTGATACAAAACACCTGCAATCCTTACAGGAACAATGGAAGACAGACACAGTAATCCCTCACAATTTTTTTAAATTTAATTTCTTTTTTGAGTGATTATATTGACATGATCCAAGTTATAAAAGGATTTAGAATGAAAAGTTTCCTTCTTATTCCTACCCTTAGTCATGAACTTCCTTTTCAGTTGCTAGCATTTTGAAGTTGGAAGATAGAGTGTGAAAATGCAGATTTCTTATTTCTCTTGAAAAATTGCTAGATTTGACAAATGTGTGTCTACACTATCAGTTGTCAACAATCGGTTAGAATTGTATGATCTGCTTACCTGCTCCAGTTGGACATAAATCCCCACCTACTTACTTCTCAAAATAATATTACTCCCTGCTTTTTTTTTTTTTTTTTAAATTGTGATTTGGGTGAAAGTCCACAGAGCAAATTCACCCTCCATACAGCAGTCCACATACACTTTGTCTCATGACATTGACTACAATTTACCCAAATGCAACAGCTCCCCTCCCACTTCCTCCCGATAGTCACCTCTTCCCTGTGTCCATCCCTCCATGCATTCCTGCCCCCTGAACTGTCTCCCTGTGCATAAGCAGCCCTTCTTTCTCCCATGATTGTTCTCTCCAAGGAGTGTATCTACCTCAGGTAAATGTTCAACTCATATGCCTGTCCTTTGCTTGGCTGGAAGCCACAGGTGTGGGTTCAATTCCAGACCTGAAGGGCAGCTAGGGGCCATAGTCTCAGTGGTTCCACCAGGCTCTATCAGACCAGCAAAAATGGTCCCCGTTTTTTTATTTTTCAAATGAGTTTTGTTCCACATTGTTCTCCATCTCTAACCAGTATGTCCTACATAAATCCCCCTCCAGGTGGTTGACAGTGGTAGCCGGGCACCATCTGGGTCTTCTGGTCTCATAGTTGTAGTGGCTGTGGATCACATGGTGTACCAGTCACTAGGACTAATTGTTTCCATGAATCTTTGGTTTTCTTCATTTTTCTTTGCTCTGGACAAGGAGAGACCCTCGTTGCATTTAGATGGCTGCTTGCAAGCTTTTAAGATCCTAGTCACTACTCGCCAAAGTAGGAGATGGAATAATTTTTTGTGTATTATGTTAAGCCAATTGAGCTTGATGTCCCCTGCGACTATGGTCCCAAGCCCACAGGTTCAACTGCTCGCTCCCTCTGAATAGCTAGCTGTGACCAAGTGACTACAACCTTGTCACTTGATAGCTCTACCACATACCTGGGAATTCTTACAGAACATACAAATACACTTATAGAACCATTGTCTGCCAACCCTATACATGTTCTTGGGTACACTCCCTGCTGAATAGACATACCTAATAGTTCAGCCTGTCCACCTGTATACCCATGTTTTCCTTCACTGACAATGCAGTACAAAAGTCCCTGTGCAAAAGTCCCTGACCATTTTTGACATTTGGGTTTGTAGCTAATTCTTATTCTTTCTATAGACAAAAGCTAGTTCCATGTAATTTATACTCAATGATTGGTTTTCATTTTGCTTTCTAAGTCTCCTCGGAATATGTACTCCCACCTCTAATGTACTCAGTTCCTTCATCTATTCCTCTGAGCTTCACTTAATTATAAATTTGATAAATATGCTGCTCCACCTTCATTCAAATTGGTGATTTTAAAAGACAGATAGTAATAATAAACAGCATTGTTGAACACAGATGCCAGATCCTTTTAAAACATCTATGTATTAACTGATTTACATTCTTTCCCATTGTTCTATCTTTCACTGAAAGTGGTCTCCTACTATGACTGTGGAGTCATCTATATGCCTTTTCAATTCTGTTGAAGTCTGATTTATGTATTTTGGGGCTCTTTCATTGGGTCCATAGATATTTATTCTGGTTATATCTTCTTGTTCAATTGATCCTTTAATCATTATGTAATCTCCTTCCTTGTCTCTTATGGTGGTTTTTGTCTTAAAGTTAATTTTGTCCAAAATTAATATTGTCACTCCTGCTCTTTTTTGGTTGCCATTTGCTTGATATATCTATTTCCAACTTTTGATTTTTAGTTTATTTTTGTCTTTGTCTATAAGGTGTGTCTTTTGTAGACAGCATATTGATGGGTTATGTTTTCTTATCCAGTCTGCCACTCTCTGTCTCTTGAGTGGTATATATAATCCATTGACATTCAGTGTAATTATTGACAAGTAGAATTGGTTGCTATCATTTTGTTATGCTTTTTTTTTTTCATGGTGTTCCTGGTTTCTTTGTTCCATATCATTTTCTGTACTGAGCTCACTATGTTTATGAATCGTGTTATCATTTCCTTTGTTGCTGTTGTTTTAGTATTTGCTAAATAATTGTGCTTTTCCTCTTTTTTATTGTGTTGTGAAGATTTATCTTTTTTTCTTTGAGGTTACCCTATGATTTATAATTTTCTCCCCAAGTTTAGAACAGTCCATTCTATCTTGCAAGTCTCTTGACTTCTCACCATTTAGCAGTTTTGTAACTACATTTTTTCCCTCTTTTTGGTTGGTGGTTGTCCTCATTTGCCAATTGATGTCTCTGGGTCTCTGTAAGCATATTTTACTTTGGATACATCCATAGCTGTATTGGTTTCTGGGTTATGTTATCTTGTGTATTAATGATTGGTTGTTGTTTGCTCTTTTTGGTTCTCTGTTCAAAGAACTCCCTTTAGTATCTCTTGTAAGGTTGGTCTGGTTTTAACAAATTCCCTTAATTTCTGCTTATCTGGAAATCTTATTTCACCATCATATTTGAGGGACAATTTTGCTGGGTATATAATTCTTGGTTGGAAATTTTTCTCTTTTAGGGTTTTATATATACCATACCATTGCATTCTCACTTGCATGGTTTCTGCTGAGAAATCAGAGCTTATTCTTATCGGTTGTCCTTTGTAGGTAACTTTTGTTTTTCCCATGCTGCTTTGAGGATTCTTTCTTTGTCTTTGGTTTTAATGAGTTTGATGATGAAATCTTAGTGATTTTCTTTTGGGGTCATTCCTGTTTGGGGTTCATTGGACTTTTTGAATGGATATATTCTCATTTTTCATCATACCAGGGAAGTTCTCTTCCAACAAATCTTGGACAATTTTCTCA